CCTCACAGGGTGGTGAGGACAAGTTTGAACACTGCTGTGGTATTTGGCACGAGCCAAACTACTAGTAGTACTAGGAACTACTCACTGTAGCTTCTGGCAGCAGCTCAGTTCCACCAGGGCTCAAAGACGACCCCGAGGTGAGGGCAAGGCATGGAGCACTTCCCGCCTGGAGCTGCTGCTGGCACAGGTGGCCACGTGGTGACAGATGAGTCAAGTGGAGATTGCAGACAAAACAAACCAAAAACCAAAACAGAAGTGTTGAAAAAAAAGCTGTTTTGGAACCACCTCAGTGTTATCTGGGCAACTCCTGGCTCTGGTCACAACCAACTCTAGTCTTCATGTGCTCCTGATGGTTGTAAAGCACCTGGAGATGAGGGTTCTCGGTGACAAACCCTCCAACAAAACTCTCTGCTTCTGAAAGCAAAGCAGTGTGGGTAACTCCCAAACCTGATCTAGGGACTGGGCCCAGCAGCTCCAGGGATCAGCCCCACATGCTTGCTGAGGGTTTGTCACCGTGTGCCCTGCCAGGGCCCTTCCTGCAGGGCAGGTGTCCCACCCAGAGACGTTTTCCTAAACACACATCAGCACACTGGTGACCTGCTGAGGGAACACAGCACTGCTCTGGAGCACAGTAACTACTCCAAAACCCTCAGCAGCTCTGCATCCACTCCATCCATCAGCCACATCCCAAAGTGATACTAAACCCCCCATCAGGGGTCCCCAAGCCACAATGGCCACATTGTCCCCAACCTTCTCCTCCCATCCTTGGGTGCTGGCATATATATGACCACACTCAGTCCTGCAGGAAATCAGCTCCTATTTTACTTAAACAAGGCAGTCAGCACCTGGCTTGTGTCTGTTTAATAACCTGAGCATCTGGTTTCCATACAGCAGGCAGGGAGCAGCCACAGCATAATAACACTCATTTAGAGCTGCAATTAGCTCTGGGCCCCCACTTGGACATTATCATGATTAAGTAGGTGCTGCTACATCTGTTGACAGACAGAGGGGGGGCAATTCCACCCTACCCCCAAGAGACTCCCCACATCTCCTCCTGTCCTCAGATCCCCAGTGTTCCCTTGTGCCACATCCAGTGTTCCATGGATGCTCTGCCATAGCAGGGATTCCTGCACCATCCAGCAAATGTTTGCCTGCCCAGTGCCAGGCTACAGAGCAAGGCAAGTGCCCAGGGCACCTTTATGGGTTGCTTTAGGGGTTTCAGCCTTGCCCAGAGCACAGAGCTCACCCACATGATGAGCCCTCTTGGTACCCACAGTGCCCCTGCACCCCCTCCAGCACAGCCCTGGGCTCCCCAGCACCAGGCATTGCTGGACCTCGGGGCTCCAAAATAGCAGGGAATGGTCTCAGCTGGAGCTGAACAGAGCTTCAAGTATTTTATTACTGCTAATGGAAAGTACAGGCTGAAACAGAATTACCATTCTGTGATTTGCAACCCTGGAAAAGTCCTTTTTGTCCTCAGTGACAACAGAAAAATCAACGTTTCCCATAAAAGTTACTAAAAGCTTAATTTAAGAATTACCAAAGCCAGCCTGTATGGGTTTTGTTGGTGTTTTTTGTTTGTTTGTTTTTTTCTCTTTTGCTTTCTTCACTGTGAGTTTTTCCCCCTTTTTTCCTACCAGTGCTTTTCACAACACTTGGTTTTGCCTGCTTCCGTTTTACTCTAATTTCTCATGGAGAAGCAGTGCTCCAACCTTCACTGAAGACATAACGCATTTTCAACTATTTTTTAATGACAAAATCATTCAATTCCTTGAAACTTTTACACCTCTGGCCACGTTGCTGCAGGAATCTGTACTGCCAGGAACCTGCAATGCCAAAATATTCTCAGGAAAGCTCCAACACACCTGAACTCCAGTGCACAGGCATGACCCAACCACATACCCCTGACCCTGCTGCAGGGAAACAGACAGAAAACCACCTCGTGTGAGGAAAAGGAGAGCAAAGAAGAGCCCACAACACCTCCACCAGTCCTAGACCTGGCCATGGGACAGGATTCCCCAGCTGGAAAGATGCTGTTGTGCCCTGGGACACCTTCCCTCAGCGAGCTCTAACGTGCTCCAGCACATGTGGAAACACTTGCATGTGCAAAAGGAAAACAAGAATGTTTTCTCAGTCACCTCAGCTACTGTTTCTGGCTCTCTAGGGATGATTTCAGCCTTTTTCTCTACCATTTCCCACCACAGAAGTGCCTGTAAATAACCTGAGGAAGGAGAAGGCCATTCCCCAAGGAGGAGGAGGTGGAACAGTGAGAATGGTTTCACACAGAGCTATGAACAAGACCCTGGCAAAGCCTCCCTGCACCAGCAGGAGGAGGGGGATGTTTTCCTGCTCCCCACCCCTGAGCCCTGCAAGTGCAAACAACTCACACAGCTCTGCATGGGCAGGGATGGCTGACAGCAAACCTGAGGGGAAATCAGGGCCTTATCCACCTTCCCTGGGAATATGGGACTGCAGAGCAAACCCTGAGAGGCTTGGACAGGGGTTCACATCACATCCCACACCCCCTGCACTGGCTGCAGCGCTGCCATGGGACACCATCCTGGTGCCAGCTGCGAGATGGCCACTAAATAGATGCCACCCCTTACAGATGTGCCCCCCACACTGGAGCTCTGTGCCAAGGGGGGCAGGGGGACAGTGCCCACAACCCCCCCAGTCCCGAGCAGGACAGACACAGCCCCAGCTGGGGCTCTCTCCCAACTATTTCCACCACCACCCTGGCAGCAAGGGGGGAGCACACGGCACCTCTGCCTCCCTTCTCCAGGATCCCTCCCAGGAAACTAAGTCAGAAACTGAGGTTTGTTTATTTATTCCCATTCCCGTGGCTCGTGGCCAAAGCTGAGGGCTGGCAGGAGGGACAGGCCCTGAACACGGGGCTCGTGACGTGCTGTGGGCACGAGGGTGCCCGGGCTCAAAACAGGGCAGGGAACAAACTTATTTTTGCATCCACAGAAAGAGGTAATTTCTCTAATTTTTTTTTTTTGGTCATATTTTCTAATTCCTCACATTTTTTCCCTGCAGAAACCCAACACTGTTTCCCAAAGCTGACGAGTGGCACCAGTCCCACAGCAGCCAAAAATCCCCTGATCTGAGAGTGCAGCTTTGGGAACACCATTAGGTGCAGCAGCAAATACTGCTGATTATAAGTTGTTTATAACTTCAGTGAAGTTTTCCAGGGCAAACATCTTCCTCAAGCAAATTTCATTTTGACAGGAAGCAAAAAACACCTGCCAATTCTTTTTTTACACCATCACCAGGAAAGTAAAAGTACTTTGTTTCAAGTGCTTTAAATGCTGAAATGATCCAGCACCAGCTCAGTCCCTGCAGAAGTGGAATCTGAAAGAAGAAGGGATCACCCCTGTTGGAAGGGGTGTCTTTTGGTGTTTTCATGACAAGAATTCCCATATTTGCCAGTTAGAAACTCCAGGGAAATGTGAGGTCACATCCCCAGCAGAGCCCTGTGGGGAAACAGGTACAAGTGGCACCTCCTTCATACCTCTGCAGAGCTCCCTCTCAGGTGTCTCCTCAGCAGTGCTCTTGCAGGAGGAGATGCCCCCCCTCAGGAGTGCAGGCTGGTGTAGTTGGTCACTGAGCAGCCACTCAGCATTTTTGCCCAATTTGGACTTCACTCAAAGCACAGGATGGACCCACTGTAGCAGAGCTAGATACACTCTCAGAGGGGCCTGCAGGCTCTGCTGTGCCAGCTGGAACATCCTAAAGGAGGAAGGTGGCCACAGAGATGGTACCAGAACACTGGGTTCTACCTCTGACAGCCAAAAAAATGATGAGGTGGTGCCTTTGCAAATGGTTTTTAAAAGCCTGGCAATAATCCTCAGTGCTGAGGGCTGAGCTGGCACACATCAGCAGCTGGACACCCAGGATGGGCTCTGCAGTGTCACACTGGGGGAAGGACTTGCAAAAATTCATGTCCCCCAAGCTGCTTTAGCCTCAGGTCATCTGTAAAAGTGAGGAGCAGCAGCTCATCTGCCAGCTGATTAATCAGCTTTGCTGCTGCATCACTGTGCTTTTAATTGACCTGTGTCCCATACATGGATATCATAGAATGGCCTGAGTTGGAAAGGACCTTAAAGCTCATCTCATTCCACCCCCTGCCATGGGCAGGGACACCTTCCACCAGCCCAGGTTGCTCCAAGCCCTGTCCAACCTGGCCTTGGACACTTCCAGGGATCCAGGGGCAGCCACAGCTTCTCTGGGCAACCTGTGTCAGGGCCTCCCCACCCTCACAGGGAGGAGTTTCTTCCCAATATCCCATCTATCCCTGCCCTCTGGCAGTTTGAAGCCATTGCCCCTTGTCCTGTCACTCAAGGCCCTTGGAAATAGTCCCTTTCCATCTTTCTTGTAGCCCCTTCAGGCACTGGAAGGCCACAATTAAGTAACCCCAAAGCTTCTCTTCTCCAGGCAGAAATCCCAGTTCTCTCAGCCTTTCCTCATAACTAAAGTAGTAAATGCAGCTTGGTCAGACCTGACACCCTAAGGACAGGCAGGCAAGGAAAAAAGGGACACAAGCACAAGGAAATGCCCACTGTAAACTCCTCTCCCTTCCAGTCCATGCTCCTTCAGCAGGACACAGCAGCTCCAAGGAGCTGGGACACCAATTCCCAGTGCACTTCTCCACTCATCCAACACCCCCAGAGGCTGTTCCCCTCAGCCAACCCCCCCATGGGTGCTGGCACTCTGTGCTGATGCCAGCAGGGTCACAGGAGCAGAGAAGGAGCCCTGTGTGTGGGGCTGTGTGGGCGTTCAGGCATCTCATCTCCATCCCCGGCCCTCGGGGGCAGTTCTGAGCAGCAGAGCTGCAAACAGCTCCTGCCATGTGAGGCAAGACCAGCAGCAGAGGTTCTGGTCTCCTCCAGACCTGAAAGCAGAGAGCACAGAGTGCATCACCACCACCTCCTGTGCTCCTCTGCTTTCATTGACACGGGGCTTTTAGGAAAAGACTCAGAAAGTTAAATGCTGTTTGCATGGGTAGTTTAATGGACTCCGGAAAACACACAAGAGCATCTTCTTTCTTTGCTTTGCTTCCAGCTGCAGGCAGATCAGTCCTTCCTGCTGGCACACACCAGGTTGCTCCATGGCAGCACACGGGAGGGAGGTCTCCTTGCAAAAATAACCCTGTTGTAAACACACTGTGATGGCAAAGTGCTCTGAGCCGGGGGCATTCCCACGGAGTCCTTCCCGCTCCCAGGGCTGCTGCCTCTGCTCAGCACCTGGGGCTCCTCCTCAGGACCATCTCCTGGAGGCTCCATGTTCTGCTCTGTCTGTGCAGGGGGGTTGGATGGAGCCTTTCTCTGCTGGTCCTGCTCAAGGAGCCTCCTGACCAGGGGCTCTGTGTGGGTGACGTAGGCAGGCCCGGGGCGCTGGATCTGGATGAGGTGTCCCGGCAGCCCCACGTTGGCTGAGGGCAGCACAAACTCTGGAACCCAAGAAACAGATACCATGAGATCCCAGCCCAGCTTCTTCCCTCTCTGGGAAGGGTTACAAAGAAGGGTGACACCAAGGATGCTCTTGGGAGGCAAAGACCACGCTGGGATCAGCGATGGCCGTGGAGGGCCAGGCAGCACTGAGGCACAGCAGTGCTCTACCCAGAGCTACTTTGCATCAGGATCCAAATAAGCCATGCAAGAAACAGAGATATGTCCATACTTTCTAACCCTTGAGCCTTTATTGCTATCTTTGAGCACAGGAGGAGCTGCAGGAGGTCAGTGTTACACCAAGAAACAGTGGGAAAGAAAAGGGGGTGGGGTGGAAATCAGCAGTTCTTGTTTCTGCAGCACTGACCCAACCCAAGGCCAAGGCAAGCCTGCACTGAAGACCTTCCCAGTCTCATCTTTCTGTCCTAAACCCCTTCATCACTCAAGTCTTGCACCTCACACACAAAGCCACAAGGCTGGCAGAAATGGCTGGAGCAATAAGGCTGAGCCTACTTGAGAAGGTGTCTGTCCAAGGGAGGCTTCAAAGCAGAAAATCCAGGAAAAAAAGTCATGCAGGAAAGGAAGATGCATTCAGACAGATCTTGGAAAATGAGATCATTGGTATCAGTATTTTTAGATACAGAGTCTTCACCTGACACAAGGCTTGTCCTTACCTCTCGTGCACTATTTTGTTTTTTCAACTGGGGATAATTCTGCCCTTCTCTCCTGCAGAGGGACAGTCCTTTGTGAGCCAGCTGAGCATGTCAGGGAAACACCCAAAACTGCAGCACCCTGGGGTTTGTCAGGGCTCTGACATTCAGCTGCAATACCCAGGGTCCCCTCAAAAGTGCCAAAAAGCTTTGGGTGCTCAGAGGGGGGACAGCAGAGTCAGAGCTGGGAATGAGGTTTCTCCCAAGGTCCCACCACGAATTAACACCAAAAGGCTCAGAGCTCCAAGATAGGGTTTTAGAGAAATGAGAGCATTTAAAGACTGTAGTAAAAGATAATCTGAAGCCTTTAAAGTTGTAGGGACAGAAGGGAGGAGGGAAATTGTATTTTCAGTGGTGTCTGCACGAAGCCACATCCATCAGGAAGAAAATTTTTACAGAGAGAGGGATCAGCCATTGGAATAGGCTGCCCAGGGAGAACGTGCAGTCACCGTCCCTGGAGGTGTTTAAGGTGAGACTGGATGTGGCATCAGTGCCGTGGGCTGGGAACCACGGCGGGGTTGGATCAGGGGTGGGACTGGATGATCCTGGAGGTCTTTTCCAACCCGGTTGACTCTATAATTCTATGATTCAGGTTTCCAAGCCTGAGATCGTGCACCACACTGCTCCTGCACCTCTGTCCGTGCCAGGGCTGGCTCCAGGTGGGCTCTGGGTGTCATTAGTTTACATTCTGGACAATAACATTCCTGACAAACTCCATTCTTAGGGGCTTAATATTTTCTCTTGCAATTATAAACTTTTGAATAACTTGTCGAAAAAATGGACTTTCTGTTTCAGAAATTCGTGCTGAATTTGTGTGGCCTCTTCCATCTCCTAAAAGCAGGGCATTGGAAAGTTAAATTAGCCTATTGGGTGTAGCAGATGAGACAAAGATAAAAGTGATATTCTCTTCTGAACTGGGAACTGGGTGAATTTCTCCTCTCTTCAGCCCCAACACTGCTTGTTCCTTCCTGGAGACTCCTCTTCTTAACAGGTAATTTGCAGATGATAACAGTAAGTGATGGGCTGCCTAAACTCCTCGACTCACTTCCCCCATTACCGGGATTTGTGGTGGCCTGGACTGAAGACTGAAAAGAGCATCTGGTTATAGCCAAAACACCAAAAAGACGCTATGTGTGAAATTTAAAAGACATATATGCTCATTTTTCTGTGTTCTGCATGTTCACTGCATACCTGTGGAGAGACTATAAGAAGGTAGACTTGAGGAGAAGTTTCCTTGCAAGGCACAAGCTTGGAAACGGATCTCAGAATTTTTGGAGCAGACTGTGTGTGGGTGTAGGCGAATGCACCTGGATTCTCCACTGGGCCTTGTGTGTCTCTTGACCAAAGAGGAAAGAAAATACTGAGGGTACTCCCAGAAATACAGGAAATACAAGATAAACAGTCCAAAAAGTGCTCTGGTTACTAGTCAAAAGAACAAATGGGAAGAAAGCAATCAGGTGGGAAACGTCAGGAATGTGCTTTTCCACAAGCCGTGCTCCCACCTGCGCTGCGGGAAGGCGGCCGCGCTGTCCCGGACACAGCCCAGCGCTCCCGCCGGCAGCTGCTCCCATGGCATCCCGAGGGTTGGGGTCTGCTCGCCTTCCCCGTGCTCTCCAGAAACAGCGAGCCATCCTCCCCGCAGGGAGACGTCCCACATCCAGCCAGGACACCCCCGGGAGCAGCCCGGGCTCTTCCCCGAGCCAGGAATAGAAACGGCCTGACGTGTTTGCACGAGAGGGGGAAACAAAACAAACAAAAAAAAAAGTTTCCATGCCAAAAAAGTTTTAGTGCAGCGAAACTCTGTACCTACCCCCTGTGCACACACGCTCAGCCCGAGCAGGGGGAAAAGCCCAACCAAAAATAGTCTTGGTTTAAATGATGAGATTTCAGACAGTGGCACACTCTGTGCTTGAACAGAATTTATTTTGACAGGCTGAGATAGTCCATGTCTCTTGGAATGCCTGTTCTGACTCAGTGTTTGGAGTTTTTAACCCTTGTTGCAGCACTGTTTTTACTGCTGAGTTCATCAGGCTGATGGGGAGTAAAACCACTACAGGAGGGTTAAAAAAAAAATCTTGTTAAAGGACAGTTTGACTATTTTCTAAGTGTTTCTGATGACTGGGGAGTTCTGGCTCAGCCCATTCTCCAGAGAGCTGGGAAGGACAGCAGGCCACCCCCAGCAGAAGGAATTGGGGTACCAGGAGCTGCTCTGAACAGGGACCCATCGGCTTGATGATGAGTGTTTTCATGTGTGAGGTAAAGCCCTGCAACCTGGTAATAAACCAGCAGGATCAGACACGAAACAACGCTTAGTGAGGCACAAAAAGCTGATCTGGAGCCTTTTCCCCACTTTTATAGGCCGTAGTTCATGTCTTTGTAAAAGGAATAAACACACAGATGCCATCCAGGGCTGAGCTGTGGGGATAACAGCAGAAGCACAGCCCATGGAAGGAGTTCCATATACCCCAGAGATGCAGCAAATCCCTCCCACCTGCTCCCAGCAGGACCCAGAGCCAGTGAGACGGGTGCCAGGGGGGACAGGGAGTGTGACAGTGAGGGCCAGAGCAGCACCCCCAGCTCCTCACCGTGCAAACACAAGCCTAACGTGGGGGAGAAGTTCCTGCTCCTCACCACCAAACAAAGCTCTCCCCATGTTCTGCAGAGCAAACAAAGATCCAGCTCAGTCCCTCACCCTGAACCACCAGCTGTGCACTGGAAAGGCAAGGAGTGAGCACAACGAGGTGGTGGAGCAGGGAAGGACAAGGGTTGTGGTGCTGGGCTGTGGCTCCAGCTCCTCTCACTGCATGCCTGGTGTTGTCCTTGGAGCCTTCCCTGCACTGAGCCAAATGTTCCCAGCTCAAAGGGCTCCTGATGTGAAGACACTGGCTGAGCTCATGGGTCCAGGACAGAAGGACATGTGCATGCACCAGGCATGTCTCCCACATTTGTTTAATCCTGGATAAATCCTGCTACTCCAGGGATATTCATGTAGGCTGGGGTTTCAGAAGAGCCTTGGGCTCAGTTGTGTTGCTACAGCATCATCTCACAGGGCAACAAAACCTGATGGACAGCACCCCCAGTTTGGATATTTGATGATGTGGGAACATTGGTGACAGGATAAAGTCTGGATACCCACCAGATGAATTTACCTGTGCAGTGGTGGGTGCTTGGGTGCAAAGAACCTCAGACGAGTCCACAAGGTCTGCCAAGTTGCCCATGTTGGAGTGAGGAGACAGAGGCTGGTGCAAATCCCAGATATTTCTCCTCTGACCTTATCTCTAACCCTTCCCAAACCAGCAGTAACTAAAGAAGCTCCAGGGAAAGGACACACAGAGTCTGGATTCATCAACTTTCCTTGGATTACATCCCTGATGTGAGGCAAGCCACCCCAGAAGGGACTCCTTCACACCAAGGGCATGACAGGAGACAGCCAGATGCCACAGCAGCACTGGAGCTGAAGATGGGAATGCAAAGATGCCAAGGGAAAGCCCAGAGCTGACAACACCTCGGAGCAGAACAAGAGGGGATCATCAGCCACCATTTGTTATTTACAGCCTGTGCTTGGCTACTGGCCTGGAAGGGAAAGGGCTCCACAACACCCCTGGGAATGCTCTCAGCATAACTGAGCGTGAGCTCCTCTGCCTCAGAAGCACCTGCCAGGGAGTCCTGTCTCCAGGACTGTCCTGGGAAAGGCTTCCCAGAGCAGAATTGGCTTGGCTTCCATCCCATTGGAGGCACAGGATTGTTGCCTGCCATTACCTCCCCCTGCCTGGGGTCTGTCTGAAGCTGTCCACACCAAGGGATCAGCTCGTGACCTGCTCCAATGGGAAGTGCTCCAGGCTGGACATGGCTTGGAGCAACCTGGGATAGTGGAAGGTATCCCTGTCCTTGGCAGGAATGAGATGATCTTAAAGGTCCCTTCCAACCCAAACTTTCCTGGGATTCTATGATTCAGTCCAAAAAGCAAATCAAAAAGCCTCCTTTGTCCACCACAAGCTGCCACCCCTGCCCAGCTCTGCAGGATCAGCAGCAGCCAGGCCAGAGCCAGGGACCCACCTGAGACCCTTCCCACTGCTTTGGCAGCACAAGCCTCCAGCCTGCTCTGTCCAGCCAGGCTATAAATCAGACTCAGGTTGTTTGGACACCAGAGGAGCCCACTCTGGAGAGCAGAGTTTAAAAGACCCAAACACTGATCCTTTTGTGACACTAAAAATGGGCAATACCAGAACTTTACAGTTAATTACAGAATTACAACTCCTGTGAGAATGGGGACGCACATGGACAACTTTAAA